CTCGAACTCAAACTCAAACTCAACTCGCAGCACAACCCATCGCATCGACAAGAAAGTGAAACACCAAAAGAAAAACATCTCTGCGGGGGTGCGTGCGTGCGTGCAAGTGTGCAAGTGTGCAAGTGTATGTGTATCCGTGTGTGCTTAACAAAAAAGTGAAAGTGCATAAAAATGACTTGAAGTGCGAGTGGAGAGCCACCAAATATAGCTACCTATATATATAAATATATAGAGAGAGAAACCAATACCCCGCCACACGAACTGGCAACTGGGGCTCAACGCCTTTCGGTTCAGGTGGCTTTTGATATGCGCCTCGCAATGCCGCCGCCGCCGCTAGCCGAGCACGCTCAACATCAATTAGCAGCTGGCATAAGGCGCTCCACTTGGTCGAAAGTGTTGCAGGCGCCGTTTCTGAGCGCCGCTCAGACTCCATCTTGAATGTGAGTGAACGCCCACCGCCATCTGCTGCCACCCATGCACAACCCAAAGACAATGTAAACGCCGGCGTTTAGCATGTAGGCAGTTTTTTCTTCATTTCCAAACAACCAACCAACAAACCAGCCAGCCAACAACAAATAATCAAATAGACAAAGTTACATTTTTACCAATACGATAAGCAACAGAAGCAACAACAGCAACAACACCACGCAACGCATTTTGTTCGTCAACAACAGCAAAGCAAACAACCAAACCAACAACAAAAAGTTAATAACAAGCTAAAACTAATTAGTAACTTTTACTAACTAATACACGTATAGTTATATACTACATTTAATAAGCAGGCAGTCAGTCAGTCAGTCAATCAGTCAGTCAGAAGTAACTTCCAGTTTCAGTTCCGAACCGGTTCCGATTTGAAGCAAAATTCACGCGTCTGAATTTGATCTCGTCTCGAGTTGAGTTTTCCAATTTTCGGTCAAATAAATTTTGTCTCGGTCAAAGTCTAACGGCACTTTAGGTTTTCTACAAATTCAGACGTAACTCTTTAGTTGATTAACCCATTCAATTGTGCATTTTGGCGTCGAATATTTGGGCGAATAAAAAAAAATTATCAAAAAAAAAAAGAAAAGTATAAAAAAGCAAACAAAAAGTTTGAAGAGAAATTCAAATCAAAACCTACGAAATTACCTGAAAATTTTTGCAACAACTGAAAAGTCTATAAGAGCAGCAGCACAGAGAGACGGAGAAGAAAATTAGAAGCAAAATTTTACAAAAAAAAATTACAATTATTTACAAAAAAGGAAAAATAATCACAAAAAATTATAGAGAAAATTAAAAGCAAAAAAACAAAACTCAAAAACATTTAGTAAAAATTTTAGGAACACAAGAAAAATAAAAAAATTATTGTGATGTGATATTTTTTCGATATATTTTTATTGTTCTGGTAAGTAAATACATGCAAAATAAATAACATATATATCAAATAATCCATTTATAAATTTTATAATATATGTATATCTGAAAATATCCATCAATGAAATTTAGAAAAAAATTTTTAATAATAATCGAAATATTTTTAAGACAAATTTTATTATTATCATATTAAAGATTCCCATAATAATGATCTTTTGCTAAAATATATTAAATCGAAAAATATGTATTTAAATTGTATTATTATTATTATTTTTAATTTATTATTTATATAATGTATAAAATGTTTTATTTGTATTTGTATAGGTTTAAAGCTTTTTGAGTTTATAATTATTTTTATTAAAAACATAAATCCTGTATTTTAAGCATTTTTATTAAATTTTTATTATGTACTTTTTAAATACTCCAAATCTATATATTTTTTTCTCAGGCAAAAAACTTTAAAACAGTTAAATAAATACGGCAAAAAAAAATACAAATTAATATTAAAAATAATTTTCTTTCTTTTTCTTTTTTTACGTAATTTTCTATTTAGCCAAAGTATAAATTATTTGTCTTATTATTTAAGAAACAGGGAAAAATATATTTGATTCCTCTAAGCACATAAACTATAAATAAATTAGTTGCATCAAAGATTTATTTTAACTTCTTACCAAATCAATGCCAAAATATGCACCAACAAAAGTGCGATCCAATCATCGTAGTCAATTGAAAGAGTGGGCAGTGATCATTTGATTCGTCTCGAGGCGTCTGGCCACCCAGTAGGCTTGAGCTCGGGTTACCTCGTCGTTCGCTCATAGTTGGTTCGTCGCCATCGCTGGTGTCGGCGCTCAGCTGCAGCAGAAACACACAGCATCAACTCGCAGCACTCAGGAGGAGGCAGCTGGTTGCATGTGTATACAAAGAGCTCCCGAGCAGAAGGCTTAGTTGTAGTAGTAGACTTTTTGCTATTCTACATTCTCGTACACATATTCGCATATGTAGATGCACATGCACATGCACATCCACATCCACATGCTCATGCACATGCACATGCTGACGGATGCAGTCGCCGACGCCAAGTTTGGGGCACAGGCACATAATGTAAACAAGGACATGCGCAGTGATACGTGGACAGCGTTTCCCCAAGTGGAGAAATGTTGCAATGCATGCAATGCAATTGCCTGCCAACTAGAAGATAGTGGAGCGACGAGGATGGTGCACTGAGGGGGGGCGGCTGTGCATTTACCGACTGTATTTGGAGTACATGGCAGCGATGCCAGCGTCGCTGTCAACGTCAACGGCAGCGTCAACTTGCCACAATTTAGATGGTCAAAAGGGAGATGCAACAAACCCAACCTTCGTGTGAGCCTTTGCCGGCACTCAGAGAGTGCCAGTGAGAGAGCCGAATAGATAGAGAGAGAGAGAGGGAGAGAGAGAGCGAGAAAGAGAGAGGGATAGGTAGGGAGAGTCAGACAGAGAGTTAGGAGGAGCGAGAGAGAAAGAAAGCATTGGCTGCGAATGCAGCCCGCAGTGCCAGAAGCATGCAACGCAAATGCACTTGAAGTGCGAGGCAGTAGCGGAGCGGAGCCTGTATGCAGGAGGAAGCAGACACACACAAGTAGTCGTTGCTTCTTTTTTGTTTTGTTGTCTCTTTTCGGCTTATTTTTAGAAGTTATGCCTACTGGCCTGAACCCCTCCCGACCCTCACCGTTCCGTTTATTTACTTAACCAGACTCGTAACTTTTACATGGGCATCAGCAGCAGCAGCAGCTGTTCGTGGAGGCTCAGCACGTGTAGCAAGCAACTGGCCAGAAGAAGGCAGCCTACCCTGCCTACCCATCCATTGTGCGTTGCAATTCTGCATTGTTGATGACCATGATGATGAGCACGACGAGGCTGTCTGGCCTCAATGGGTGGTTGGACGGGTGGAGGGGGCAGCTGCTGGGCTGCATACGCACAGCCTGCAGCTGCACTTCTTTATCGTTGTCGTTGTAGTCGTCGTCGTCGTCGTCGTGAACGTGCTGCGTGGTTGGTCGGCTCAGTGGGCAGCCGGCTGTGGGGTGTGGGTGAGTGTGGGCTTGAGTGGGTTGAGTGGCTGACCCAACGGAAGTGTGGCCGCGTAGACGTTGCGTAGATGCAGCGCCAAGTTTTTTCTATTTCTTGACGTGCAGTTTTTTGGAAGGCAGGTCCACCCACCCGTTCAATGTGCGTTTAATGCAGCGTGTCGCCAGGCAGTATATAGACTCTTTATATAGAGCGCGCTGCTCGCCCCATTCCTCCATGTGTGTGTGTGTGTGTAAGTTTCGCGCGCGCGAGCTTTGAGCAAGGAAAAAAACTTATCACAGATACTTTTACATAGGACTTGTATAACTAGTCAATAGGAGGGCCTGAGCACCACTGCCCCGCTGCATTTTGCGCGTCTGGTGGTTATTTTTTTGGCGGTCGCTTTGGCTGAGAGGGGCAGAAGTTCAAAGGGGCTGTGTGGGGGCAACCATGTACGCGTCGTGCTGGTCCGAGTTATGTTATGTTTTGTGCCGTGTTGTATCGTTGGTAGCTGTTAGCCGTTAGCTGGTCGCTAGTTGATGGAACGCCGAACGCATCGCAGATCTATCGGCATCGGACGTGCGGGTAGTTGGCATACGGCTTTTGGATGTCTTCTGAGTGCCAGCCAACATTGCTTTTTTATATTCTCGGCTCGACGCACTGAGCAAAAGGACGCAAAACGCACGCAGTAGCGGCAGCAGCAGCAGCAGCAGTGGCCGAGTGTTAAACGGTTAACGGGCAACGCGCCGTGGAGAAGTCCTAGCAGAGACAGAGCTGGTCCAAGTCGTCGACGGTTCGGTTCATTTTCGGACTTGCTTATTTTCTAAAATACTTATACACACTCGCATTCGCATAGAAAAACCCATATTATTATATATACATATATTATATATATTATATATATATATAATATATATATATATACATATAAAGATATATGTATGTAGCTAGATGAGTGCAAAGTGCGCGCGCGTTTACCGCCCCCGAAGTCAACCTCGAATCGGTTCGCATTGAGTTTCGAATGGCATCAAATACTATTCATATACAATAAATAACAAAATAAATATATATATGAATTTATATATATTTACAAATATATTTAAACATATATATATATATATATATATACATATATATATATATGTATATATATATATTTATATATATCTAATTCAGCCAACAGTGAACGCGAGTGTGAGTGCGTGTGATTGGAATTCCAATGCAATCGTTTGGATTGGTGCAACGCATGAAAGGAATAAAACAAAATTCACCAAAGCAAATTAATTTTTCAAATTTAATGTCACCTCATTAAAAATAACAATAACAAATATAAAGAAAGAAAAGGAAGCCAAACAAAATATTCCATATAAATATTTAAAATCGTAAATCTCCACAAGTTTTTCAAAAAGAAATTAGAAACTAATTTTCACACAACTTTTCTTAACGTCTGCGTCGTCGTCTGATCACCGTTTGAGTTCACCTGTCCCAATGGCTGCCTCCAGATCAAAAACTAACCTGACTCCATTTTTCAAAGTTCAAGTTAATTGTTTGTTTAATTTATAAAAACAAAACAAAATAAAAACAAAACGAAAAATAAAAAAAAAAATTAGTTAACTGATAAAGATAATTCTTTTGCGATCTCATGTACGCATACAAATTGAAGCTGGTGCAGTTCGATAGATACTTTGACACATTTCAATTGCAAGAGCCACCAAGTTGGGATCCCTCGGATCAATCGCATCGCATTTCGTTAACGGCGACGGCGACGCAGACAAAAATGCCAAATTTGGCAACGCGTTGCTCACCGCAAACAACGAACCGACACTTAAGACAACCAGCATTAGCTGTGGACCCGAGAGAGAACCTCAACATTGCCATGGATAAATAACATCAGTAAACTGTCCTGTAGGTGATCGCTCCTTGCAATATATATTTTATAATGATCTTGGGTTGATTGTTTACTCTGAGTATGGTTTTAGCTGAGCGTCTTTTGAGCTGTTTGCGTCTTGAATAACCTTTCAACCATAGCCAGTATTTGATGAAGGATATTTGATTTGTTTTTATTAATTTTAATGTATATAATTTTTTATTGTCTTTTAAGCTTGCTAAAAATATATTATATTCAATTCATTTCCATAAATAATCTTACTATATTTAAGCACTCCAAAAAAATTACTATTTTCTATTATTCAACTCATTTTAACTAACCTTATGAAATCTGCTTTGAAAAAACTTGTTAGATTCGTTCTTCGGCAAAGGCAAACACGTGCTTGCTTCATTTTATATAGCAAATAAAGCTAGCTGCAAAGTAAAAGTAAAGAAAATAAGAAACTCACATAGACACACACACACGCACACACAAATGGCGAAATGTTGCAAAATGTTTATTATGTCTAAAATGAAGCGAGAGTTTCCCCAAGGTAAAATTCGCCTTGACTTTATCTGCTGCCGACGGTAAACAGCCAAAGACAGCATGAAAGGATTCACCCACACACAGACACAGCTTAACATCTGTGTGCGAATGTATCTTAACTAATACAGTTGCAAGCTGCATAGAATGTTTTATCTTAAGAAACGCAGCACATTAAGGTAGCTGGCCAAAAGTATAGCTGCCCTTTGCAGGGGTTGCTTAAGCTGCCTCCCACAAAACACGCGCGCATACACATACACACACACACACACGCACACAGAACGCTCATACTCCATTTTGTTCTATTGCCCCAACGCGCAGTCACTGCTGACGTCGCAGCTGGCGTTGCAGTCGCGGCCGCTGCTTCTGCTGCTGCGGCTGCTGCTGCTGATAGCTGCCCCTCCATGTATTTGAATTGCGCACTAACTCTAGCTCAACGAGAGAGTTTTTTGTTGTGCTCCCCCTAATGTGTACGTGTATGCGTGTATCCTGTTTTTGCATTTATTTTATTGCCTGTGGGGGAGGCAGCGCAGTCAACGATTTTATTTGCAAAAAACGCCCGAAGGGGGAGGCGTTCGTATTTTGTGTTTGCTGTTGCTGTTGTTGTTGCTACTACACCTGCTACCCGATGTCCTGCCAATGTCCTGCGCTCGCGTATTTTTTCGCGGCTGCAGCGGGAAACACAATTTTTTTGCAATCGTTGTTGTTGGCGCTGCCTGCCAATACACGTATGCTCACACACACACGCACGCACACAGGCCGGGATATGCGTCGCGGCAACGACGTCGTCCTCGGCCTATTCGCGGCGAAATAATTTTTCGCATTTTTAGTACAAAGCTTCACATCAACGTCGTCGTACAAACAAATTTTTATTTTCGGATTTTTCAATTACGTTTTCATTTATTTTTAAGTATTCATTTTGCGTGCACTAAAAAACCAAAAAAAAATACAAAACAACAACAAAATACAAAGCAACCGAAAACAACAAAATCATACAAAAATTAATCATATGAGTATATTGTACATGCATACGAAGTCTGTCCTAGAACAAAAAGCAACAGCAAAAGCCAAGATACTTTTCAGTCAAGAAAACTTCAAGCAAAAACAAAAAAAAAAAAACAAAAAATCAACAAAATTGAAGCAAACTTTTTGCCGGTTTTGAAAAGCAAATGCAAAAACAAAAACAAACAAAATAGTCGGAACGATTTTCAAGTGCCATTTCGATCAAGGACAAAAAGAATCTTAACTCGATCTCTCTCTAAGTTATCAGAAGAAACTTTCAACTGCTCCCAAGTATATTTCATTTTGAATCTTTGCATTTACGTTGAACGCTAAAATAAATTTAAAGCAAAAAAAATACATTTTATTTTGTAGAAATAAAGAAAAATACAAAAAAAAGAAAAGAAAAAACACGAACTACGAACTACGAAAAACACAAAATTCAAATGTAAAATCAAAAGTACAAAGCAAAGAAGATTGTTGGCAACATTTTTATAAGTATATACGTATTATTATTATTTGTATATATGTATTTTTTATACGACAACATCGCGAACAACAACACGAAAAGCAACAACATTTTCTACAGCAACAAACACTGAACGCACGTGATTCCACGAACTGGTAAGCTAAATGTGTGTGTGCTTAAATATTGAGGACATTAGGAGAAATCGAGCTGAACAACAGAGCAGCAAGATGCTGTCGCACTCAACAGTCGATGCTTTGGCTTCTGCTTGCTTCGGTCCTCTGACTTCTCCTTTCAGGCTAGCTCGAACACTCCTAATACATCTTCACACAGCACAGCCTCTCTGCGCTCTCTGCAGCAGCACACGAAGACTGCGCTGCCTTCGTGCATTTTCGGCTGCTTCGTGCGGCTCTGCTTTCTAATTGCGTCCTCTCTCTTTGGCTGCCTGCAACAGTGTAAGTGCCTGTCTGTGTGTGTGGGTGCATTACATTAGCATGCAACAGCAAGAGCAGCTACAGCAGCAGCTACACTTCGGCATCCTTCGGGCTTCGGTTGGGACCTGCGTGTGTGTGTGTACGTGTGTGTGAGGGAGTGCGTCTCTTTGCTTGCTGGCTGCCTGCTTCTTCTAGTTCATCTTAAGCTACGCGCGCGTACGGTTCGCCTCGCCGTTCGTGCTCGTCGGTTCAGTCGTCGCCTCGCTCGTGAGGACACTTCGTCATCGGCTCTTGCCTTGTTGTGTTTCTTCGTCTAGGTATGTGTGCGTATCTGCTTGTGTGTATGTGAGCAAGCGCACACTTACTTGCACTTACTGCCGCCTGCGTATAGGAAATTATCTGCTGCTGCAGCCGACTCTGCCGCTGCCGCTGCTACGTCGTCTAATACATATATAAATAATATATATTATTATATAGATATACATATATTTAAATGCGCACTTCGTGCCGCTCGGGGTACATAGAAAAAACAAGCAAGCTGGTGTCGTTAGGTTGGAGCAAGCAAGCCAGCAAGTAAGCAACGACAACGACAACGACGACTGCCTGCTTGCAAGAAAGTGTTGCATACTTATGTGGGCAACTGACGTTGACGTCGCAGCAGCAGCCGTAGTGGCAGCGACATCGCCTTGGTCTTTGGGTTTTCGGCATTTGGTCAAGCCAAGCATTTTACTTTTATATTCTAGAATACAAAATTCAGTACGTTTCTAGTCACGCGCGCTGGCAGAAGTTTTGCTTGGCGTTTCTGTCTTCTGACTGCCGACGTTGACGCACGCCGCCTCGACTTGTGTAAAAATGCATTCAATTCCTCAAATCAATTTAAATATAATAATTAACTAAAAAATAAATTTAAAAATTAAACAACAAAAATGGAAGCATATACAGTGCATAAGCAACTGATCAATTTATAAATCGACAACAAACTGAAATTATTATAAATTATTATGAAAATTTTGCCAAATAATTAAATAAATATAATACACATAACAAATAACAAATAATACAAAAAAAAAAAATAAGCTAAGATCTGAAATATTTCGCTGCTGTTTGTGGTACGTGAGAGTTGCAGTCGTCGCTTGAAATTAAAGTGAGATTTTAAGATGAGTTTATTTGTTGCATACTTGAAAGCGGTCGACAGTTAGGCGCTCGATTAGCCGATTAACCAACCAACGCGGCATCCGCACTCAGACAAACATAAATAACAACACACAGGGACAGACACACACACACTCACACACAACCACGGGCAGCAGCGGCTGTTGCTGGCATTGGTGGTGGCCAACGCATTGCGCATACGACACGTTGTCACGCAGTTTCGCTTGCTGCGCATTGGCAGCAACCGCTTCTTGGGGCAAAAAACTTTGCCGGAAATTATCTAAAACTGTTAGGCCCAGCAGCCAGACAGACAAATATGAAACAGGAGCGCCTTCGATTCGCCGCAACGCTTTCTAAGTTTGCCAGCAAGCGACTGCGGTTTGGAATTCACACACAAATACATACACACTAACAGGAGAGCGCTTACTTATATAGTTGAAATACACGCACACATACATATCCACGCACAGAGATGTTTAATTTTATATAAATATACACAGACACTGTGGCAGACACAAATTGGGTTTCACGAGTCGAATATAAAAGCACTTGGCCTTCGTTTCTTGTGAGACATTCGATCGTCTTGGCTCGCAGCATCAGCGTCGTGGCCTCTCGACAGAAGCAGCAGCAGCCGATTAGAAAGGCAGAAAGGCAGCCAGCCTTTGGTCAGTTGGTCAGTCAATTGTCAGGTAGTCAGTTGTAGTTCGGCTAACGCAGCATCCGCTACGTGGGTACGTGTTGGGATATTGTCATAATTACACTCGAAGCGTATTTTCATAAAAACGTATTGTTTCGAGCTTAATTAGTTATAATCTGAATTTAAGCTATAAACTAAATAAAACTGTGAAAAAATACGAAATGTGTGCTCCAAAATTAAATACTTAATAGTTATTGAATAATTTTAAACAATTCATACTTTACTTATATTAAACAGCTAAAACATCCAGATATTGTGATATTAAAAGTTGCATAAAAAATAATTCATTAATATTAAAAAGTGTGACTCAAATAAGAAATTAAAATATATAAAAATTTTCAATTCAATTTTATATATTTTATTATTATTTTATAATGAACTTCCTTTTAGAAATGAAATGTTTTATGTTTTACTTAAGATCTAATTTATTTTTTATTTATTTTTAACTCATCAATATATATGTGTTACTTTTAATATTAATATTTCTTAAAAAAAAATTATTCGCACACCAAATTATGAGCAAAATTATTTAATTTTTTTTTTCAGATTTGTCATCAATAGTTTTTTTTAATTCTATATTTTAAAAATATATGTACAATATATATAAAAAAAATTATTTAAATATCAATATTTTCTTTCATCGCTTTCATTTTATTCTTTTTATTTCTTCTTTTTATATATTTTAAAATGTTTTAGTATTTTATAAAAATTTATATAAATTTAGTTTCTAACATTCATTTATTATATTTCAATAAAATATTGTTTCTTATATTTTAAAAAGTATTTTATTAACGGAAAAATTTATTTATATTTATTTTCTCCTAATAAAAGAGGTTTCTTCAATTTTCTATAGAAATTTCCTTTACTAAAACGAAATGCAAAATTATGAACAAAGATAAAATCGAAACTCAACAAATAATTCACAACAAATAAACGTCTTTTAAAAAGCGCTGCGGCAACGAAACGAAATTTGTAAATATAAATTCAATAAAATGTGCCAATAATATTTGAAATAATTACCAAGAAAACATAACTTACAAGAAAAATAACAAAAAGAAGCAAACAAAATGTAAATTAAAATAAATTTCAAATCCTAAAAATTATTTGGAAAATACAAAAAAGGAATGAGAAAAGGAAAAGTGGAGCCCAAGTGAGGGTAGTGCATGTAGTGAAACCAAGAAAATATTTAAAATGTAGCATTCAGCGCAGCTGTGCCTTAAATTTTATTTATTTTGCCACTTTATAAAAAAAGAAAGAAATGAAAAGAAAATAAATTAACAACATGCAAAAGTGTTTAGTGACACCCGCTCTTGACCCCTCAGTTGCCCGCAGCGCTTGAAAGTTTTTGTGTTGATACCTGAACCGTGTTGACCCCCGCCACTTAGCCCCTTACTACTCAAATAATACTTGTGTTCAAACGCGCCGGCTACGAAATGTGCCACCAACTACACCAGCATCAAGCGTACCAACGCCAAAGACCGTCCCACTCGCAGGCAAGAACATGCCACGAGCTATTGCCGCTGCCACTGCCACAGCCACAGCCACAACCGCAGCCACTGCCGCTGGCCAGTGTCCAGTCACGGTGGCATCCAAACGGAGCCGCTAGCTCCGCCAGCAGCTAAGGCTGAGGCGCAACACAGTTTCCGCTGTAACGAAATCGCCAATGGCTATGTAAACTTAAATTAAGGGTAAAATATCGCAAATGGTATTGGTGCAAACACAAAAAACCAAACAAACAAAAAAACTATAATAATATATACCTGAAGTGAGAACACTTGTCTTCTCCAAGACTCTTAAGCGCTGAGCTGTGTTTCCTTTTGATTGCGTAGCTAATGTAATGTAGACGAAGTTTGACACGACATTTGACAGGAGTCGAAATAATAATTTAGCAGCTTGCATTAGCAAAGTTTATAAAAAATAAAAAAGCAGCAAGTTTTCTTTATATTTATATTTAATTTTAGAATATTTCCAATTTCTATGAGAATTGCTTTTATATAGTATTTTATTAAAAATAAATTTAAATAACTTTTTATATTTATTAATATATCGTGAATCTAATATTAATATTTTATATTTTTTTTAATATTTAAGTGTTAATATTTTCTTTATATTTTATTTAATTTTTAAATGCTTTTATATTTAATTTAAAAATGATTTCTATTCAAATTTGTTTTTGTTTAATATTTTTATTTTAATACAAGCTTAAACAACTCTCTCATGTTTGTATATTACTACTAAATCTAATATTAATGTTTTAGTTTTATTTTTAATAATTAATAATTAAAAATCTAATAATTAATTTCATTATGTATTATTTTAGTTTCACTTGCAGCTTAACATGATTGCATAAATAAGAAATGCTGTGTGGCATATAAATGGCAAAAACAATAATTTGAAATAAATCAAAAATTACACATTAATTGCAACATGTTGTTTGAGCGAATGTCTAGTTATATCTGCAGTTCCAAGTCGATTAGCCAACAAATTGAACGACCTCTCTCCCAACTTGATTTTGCTCTATTTCAGCCTTAAAATCGCCAATCAATTGTACAAAATACTAATCACAAAATTCTTGTGCGCCTCGTGCAACTGTTTGCTCTCTAATTGCAGGTTACACCATATCGAGAAGTTATCCAATGAGAAAGCCGCTTAAATTTTGGTAAGTACTCGTCCATAAAAGAGAACGCTATGCTTAAGACTAAACTGACCAAAGCCGTAAAGTCTTCGACAAATGAAATGCCTTTGTGTGCAACGAGTGGACTTCATTTTTTAATTAGAAAGTCAACACAGACGCAGCTGCATATGTGTATGAAGAAGAAGCTGGCAGGCAGAGAGAGAGGAAGAGAGGAGGAGAGAGAGACGCCTTTGTGAGCTCTCACTCCAGAGCTGTTCGCCTGGCTTTGTTTACGCTTATTTGTGTGCTACTTAAGATGAAATGGCAAGAAAAGTGACGTTGATGCTGGGGCTGCCAGAGAATTGGCTGAGGCATCGGGGACTAGAGACTGGGAAGGAGGCACGGCTGTAGCCTGTGTCCATTTTAATTTTAGTTACTCTTAACGCAACGTTGACTTCCAATTCTTTTCATTTATCTCTCTGTCTCTCAGTCTTTATCTTTTCTCTCTTTCTGCTCGCAATATGTGTGGCATATAAAAACTGACGCTGACTAAGAAGACGAGGCGTTTGGGGGGCCGTTTGGCTAGGCGCCGCCTCTTGAGGCAGACGGAAGCGGAAATTGCTGAAGTTGCATTTGTATAAGTGTGCCTGCCTGTGTGTGTGTGTGTGTGTGCGTGTGTGTGTGTAATGATGCGACATGTTATACTTCTGCTGTCAGCAGACGCTGCCAGTTGTTGTTGCTGTTATTGCTGCCGCCGTGCAACATTTACAAGCAGTTGCAATTATTTTCAGCTTAAATGACAAAATACAAGGAAACAAGTCTTAAGCATTTGCTCCCACCTATGCAAAGCCAGCCCAGGTCCTAGCCCCGAACGAGGACTCGTTATTATTCTTGTTGTTGTATTGTTTGTAACTGTTGTTGTTGCTGCTGCTGTTGCTGCTGCTGCTGCTAGCTGCTGGCAGGCAGCTCCTCCACGCAAGTTGCCGACGTGTAAATGAGTTTTTTTTTCCTGGCTGCAAATATACCCTGGAACTAGCGCGAGCAGGGTATGCATAGAACAGTAGACATTCCTCCTTTCAGCAAGTTATCTCAGTTGCATCGTACTTGGAGTCAAGTCACGTCTTATAAACTGTAAAATTCTTTCAAATATTTATAATATTCAACAAATTTTTATTGAAAACCTGCACTACGAGGATATATGAGTATAGAAATTCAGCTGAACTTTTTATGTCTCGAAATACGGTTATATAATTAACCAATTTATGAGAAATAAACTTCATACATTTTTTATTCATAAATATATTTCTAAAATTATTTTTATTTGGTATCCCTTAGTCGCTCAGTTCGATTTCTTCTTCTATCCTGAACTTTGCATATTCCCGCATCGTTGTTGCTGTTGTTCTTGCTGCAGTTGTTATCGCTATGTTTGTTGTGTTTAATTTGAACAGGCCCAACTTTGGCCCGGCTGCTTGAGTCACGAAGCCTGCTCTTATGTGCCCCTGCTGCCCTGTCCCTTCGCGCTGGGCGACTGTTGTGCTGCTGCTGCTGCTACTTTGCCAGTTTTCTTTTCATATTTGCCACATGTGCGGCGGCAACAACAACTTCTCATTTGGCTGCCTGCCTGCCTGCTTGCTGCTTGCTGGCTGCTTAGCTGCTCTTATGTCGGCATAAGTAAGTGCACCTAAGGCTACTTATGAAAAATGTAAATTAAAGTTGACTTTTAGGCGCACAATGCACGGCGAAGTCCCTGCTTGGTCGCCTTTGGCAAAACTTTGCCATGCTGGACAGTGTAAGGTTTTAAGAAAGTTTTCCGCATTGAATATTTAGTACGGCTTTTGCGCTGAAAATGTCATGTGGAAAGTTTCGAGCGTTTCGCCATGCACGGACAACTCTCAGCTAAACAGGAAATCGTTTTAAGAACGGAAGTGAAAATTCTGGCAGCAGCAGCAGCACCACCAGTTGAGCGCAACCATCTAAACACACATCTAACAGCGTCCATCTGGGGACCGCGTAATCTTCTATTGAAACTAAACAATAAAAAACTGCGACTACAACGCAAATTCATTCAATTGCAAAAAGAAAATTACCCTAAAAAAAGCTAAACACAGCAGTCACACTGACCGAGGTATCTACAAAAGCTAACTATAGCAACAAGTCGTTATGATTATCTAGAATTAAATAAAGCACACACACAATGACATGCACACACACACATAAACTAACATAAAGCCCAAGTCTGGGACTCGACTCGAGCTGCGACCATTGGCCAATGGCAATCGCTCACTTGAGCGTTGGACCAAGTTGCACGCCTCGCTGAGCAGAAGCCGCGACCCCGAGCCACATAGTAGTTTCACACTGATCTGCAAACCCCTCCCCTTCACCACCACCAACCCCACCATCACCAGCAGCCGCCAGCACGGACCCAGTTTCCCATTTCAACGATCGCGCGCGCTATTCGCTTCGCTTTGGAAATTAAGTCAGCAAATGACTTGTAGAATATCAACACATGCCCAGTCGACTGGCTGGCCATCCGCCCCGCCGTCCGTCCATCTGTGTCTGTGAGATTGTGTTTTATTTGGGCTATGAGCTGGCGACGCAACAACAACGTGCCGAGCCGAGCAGCCGAGCAACAAGATAATCAAGTGTAATTTATTTCGTATTTGGTGCGCGCCATGCATGAGTAAAACGAAAACGACAAAGTTTGACTCGGACTACGGCTGCTCTGACTGTGAAATACAAGCGGCCATCTAAATATCTAGTATCTATGTACCCAAACGCGCGCGCTGAGATGAGTATATATATACATATCTAAATAATATATATATATATATATATATATCTAAAGTCAGCAATGCTTAACTCTAATATAAACGCAAGACAAGTCTAGCGAAGCATTTGACAACGATATTTAAATACACTTAGGTATTCAAAGGGGTGCAGCATTTAAATTTATTAAATTTAATTATTATAATTACATAAGTCTTGAATCATTATTAAAAGATACAAATTTCAATTCAATCAAAGAAAACATTTGATCGCAAAAGTTAATTAAAAGTTAATCTACACATAATATAATTTATTAATTTAATCTTAACTTTACACACTTTACTTTATTTTTAATATTTTCATTTTCAAATAAATTTTGTCAAAAATGTTTTTTTTTATTTAATATTTAATATTTTAATGTATATTTCATTTTATTTATTTATTTATTTATTTTTAAAAATCAATTTTCAATTTCAATAAAACTATTTTTAAAATATTTTGAGCCTGAGTTTTAATCTGAATTTGAATATTATATATTAACTGGACATTCTTATTTTTTATAGCTTACTATTTTACAATATGTATATTATCAAATTATTTATTTTTTTTAATATTTTTACTAAAAATAGTTCTATATTATTAGTTAATAAATAATTACAAATTTATAATTTATTTTTTAATTTTTATTAAACAAAATTCAAAAAAAAATTTTTAAAAACTTAAAAATTATTTTTTAGGTTTATTTAAAATATTTTTTTATATTATTATTTTTTTATTTTATTTATTTTATAGGTTTAATTAAAATATTTTTTTATATTTTTACTTTTGTTGGCGCTTCTTTAAACAAAAAAATTTCCTAAAGCGATTTTCGTTATTAAAATAGAAAATAATTTTAATTTCTTAACGTAAAATAAACTACATATTTTTGGGAATCATTGATTTTTTCTATATGTTCCTAAGCTTTTTGCTATTAAAATATTTTCTAAGCTTATGAACATCAGTTCCTCATCATCCAATTAAGAAGTTAGATCAACAGACAGGTATTGTCAGCACAGCCGTCATAATAGACTTGTTTTTACCTCAATAAAAATAACTTAGAAAGTAAAAAAAACCACTCCCAACACCAATCATCTCGACCGGATGCTCGTGCACTTGGCGTGTCGCTTATAGATGACAATTTCGATTTCGACTCGGTTTGAATGCTGATTCTGTGGATCTCAAAGCCCCGTTTGCGTTTTAAGTATCGCTCACACTATGTCAAAATCATTGAAGCATCGCATTACACAGACCCATTCTGGTGCAGTTCGGCTCGAACTCGTTTAAAGACTCAAATAGATTGGCAAGGCGGAAGCTTAATGGTTAACTACGAGCGCTGCCTAACAAGTCGTCGCATATCTATAGAGATATTTACATATCTATATATATATATATATATGTTTCCCACGTGCAGCACGGCAACAACAAGTGTCACACACACACGCACCCTCGAGCCATGCACACACCCTGCCACGGCCACAGCAAGTTGCAGCCATATAGCACGCACCAAGCCCGAAATGAATGAAAAAGGGGGAAACGCGACATAAAATACTTATTAAAAAAGGCGAAAAGTTAATAATATGCGAGAAAGCAGCAACAATCAACAGTAAAAGGTAAAAGCGTCGCCCATGAAGCAAAGTTCCGATGCCGTTGCACGTTGGTGGTTGCCGATGCTGCCGCTGCCACTGCTACCACAGGCAGGCAACATAAAGCACGGGTCAGCAAAGGTGGTGGTAGCTGGCCCAAATGGCCAGCGCAAATCTTTCAAGAGTAGTTCCGCTTTTTTGTATTGTGGCCACAGTTGCAGCACATCCGCTCCAAGTTGGCTGCCTCTGTCACGAAGACTTGTTCAACCTGCGAGGGAGTACGCGCTGATTATCTTTCTATAATGATTACAATTAAAAGCGGCTCACGCGGTGGGCGGGGCACTAGGCGTGAAATGTGCGGCACAGGCCAAGCTAGAGAGAGACGTGCCCGAGAGGGCACTGGAGGCTAAGGTGCAGCTGATCACTTGTACTTTGCACCGGAAGTAGGCACCATTTTGTGTCTGTGTGCGTGCGTGTGCATGTGTGTGTGTAAAAGTCGAGCTCAGTTTAAGTTCTTGTTGCGCATTGGCCAGCAAAAGAGACAGAGATTCAAATAATAATACTCAACAATTGTTATGTTACGCTTACTGAGCAGACTGTGACGCTGTCTATGTGAGTCTGGCAATGTGTGTGTGGGTTATGGGTGTATTTCTTTGCGCTTCCATAAGCAGCGCGCCTCAGCGAATCAGTAGGCGAGACCAGAGAGAAATCGCCGCTTTCGATCGTTAGTCGCTCAGCCCCCCGTCCCGACGCCGCTGCCGCCGCCTCTTCTGCTGCTTCTCCTTTGGCTACACAAGTGATTTCGCCGCGTTTCGTATTTGCTGTTCGCCGTCATCGTCGCTTGGCTGCCTCTTTGATTTGGTTCACTATCTCCCTCTGTCGTCTGTCACTTATCTTTCATTAAAAGCATTGGCCGCCGTTCGCCGCGCTGATTAACTTGCAAGTCGGCTCGAAATCTCATTGGCTGTTTAGTTGTTCGGGGGGCTGGCCAGCGCCTTTGCTTAGCTTGGGGCAGCTTTTGTGTGGCTGTGTGCGGAGCTGGTGTAGCTGGTAGCTAATCAATAAATCACTTCAAGGTTTTCTTAATTAAAACTTTTTTGACCAAAAACAAGCCACAGACTCGCTTCACTAATAAACTTTTCCACATGCCATGAAAGACAAAGTTCCAAAAAAAGAAGGAAAAATGGCGAAAAATTGATTAACTGCCCGAAGACCACAAAAAACTTCGGTTCAGCAAAGTTTCGAACCCGTTCCAATAAGAAAAAGTTTGGCAACTTCGAACAAGAAAACGAGGCAGCCTCTGGCTTCGAGGAATATGTAAAACTAAAGCCAACAAAAACTGTAAACTGAAAACTGAAAACTATTAAACGCTTAAGTCAGGCGGAAAATGAGACAAAATAGTTGCAGAACTTAGACACGGCCAAAGAAGCACAAAAATGCTCAGCCTTAATTAAGGCCAACTTGAGGAAGGTATGTCGAAAAGAAACCGAAATAAATTCGGCTAATTGGCAGGCGCGAAGACTCAAGAGCCGAGGGGCAAAACGATGCAAACGACCGCAAAATAGCGACAAGAAAAATCAAAAGAAATCGCAATGAAAAGTCAGCATCGACCCCACTTGACATTAACCGTTAACCGCTTAAGCTGGCCACACTTATTTATGTTTTCTTCTGGCGTTTTCTTGAAATATTTACCCAAGCCAAACAATGGAGCCAAGAGGAAAATAAAAAAGTTGAAGCCGGCGACACACACACACACACACATACACAGACACAAAATACACTACTACAGTTACAGAAAGTTGTTGCTTGGGGTCTCTATTGACATAATTCTTGCCACAAGTCACACTCAAGGCGTTGGCCAGGCACTCGAGTACAAATTCTAAGGACAAATCCACCCTCAATTAGTTGCTCAGTGCATCCTGCCAAAGACGTTGTCCTTTTGCCTGTTCTTTTGTTAATATTTGTTTTCTTTTATTTGATTGTTTGGGCTCAGTTTTCAGTTTCAGTTACAGTTACAGTTTCTGGTTGGGTTCTGGTTGGGTCTTCGGTTTCATTTACATGCTCGTTAGACGAGTTTTACCGCAAATTAGCCTTTGTTTTGCTGATTAGGCAGACGCTTTCTTACTGGCATTTCCGCTCACAGTTTTAGCATAGCATAGTTAAGGGGATATTCGTGGAACCAAATAGGAAACTAATGGTAGCTTAAGCGATATTACGATGGCAAGGAACTGGGTCTGTTATTCTGTTTATCTAATCGGCATTCGTCAAATCTTGTGCACACTTCAGTCCTTGATAAGCAGCGATTGCGACTATATATATATATATATCATATCTAATCAATGGCCAACTGAAATATTTACTCGCGGTGTTTGGTTAGTCAGTTTTTATTTGCTTATTAGCTTCAAGTATTTTTCCGAATTCGATTTTATCAGCCCTTCAGCGAGCCTCCACTCACAGCAAATAGAAACGAATCTGTTTGCATTGTATCTTATCGGAAAGCGCTTTTCCAGCATTTGAATGCATTTTCATAATTTATGTGAGACCTTTTGCCCAACCTGTTGGCCCAACCCTTCTTCCTTTTGCCGTTTTCTTGCTTCCGCTAACAAATGAAACCAGCTCGAACTTCCGCTTTCAATAAGTGTCTAATAAGCCCAAAGTTCTTGTTGCAACCCTTAGTTTAGGCCCTGTCCGTGTTTTTTTTTTGTTTTGCCATTAGTTAGTTAGTTCCCACCATGTATAGTCGGCACCCTTCTGCGGAATTTCCCGGATATTGTTATTGGCTTATGCTGATGGCCCTGTGAACGCCTTTTCCTTCCGCCGCTCGACGCCTACGCCGACGTCTGAGCGGCCCAACTTGCTGTTGCTTTTGCCTAACAAATTCTCCAAATGTGCAAAATGATTGCGGCTTCGTGTTAACCTCTGCGCTCTGCCCACCTGCTAGTCCAGCTGAGCCCCTGGATTGCTTAATGTTCCAGCCACACGCGAGCTGAAAATTGCTGTGCGAAAAAAACAGTTGCAGACTCACTGCTTACAGTTTAGCAGGCACTGCCAGTGGAAATGGCGGTTGGGAAGAATATTGTTTCAGTGCGAAACTCGATTCACAGTTTGGGAGTTATTGTCAACTGAATGATGCAAATTTTAAATTAGATTCCAGTCAGAAGTCCAAGCAGAATCATATTGAATTCCAATTGGAATATATAGCACAAAAGGTATCGGCTTAAAATTGAAATTAATTTTTATTGCAAAGTATATGTACGTGTATGTATTTATTTTTTTTTTTTGTTTTCCATTTAAAAAATATACCAACTAAATATTTACTCTACTATCACTTATAGTTCTAAAGAGCAGTTAACAATTTTTACGTAAGTTCCCACTTGATGTTGATTCATTTTCATGTTTTCCTTTGCCTTTTTGCTTGTTTGCATTTTTGTTTTTTTTTTTTCGATTTTCTTATATATTTCTTTTAGTACTTTCCAACAACTTGGTGACATTTCGAGGCTAGAGCGAAAAGTGATTATCATTCTCGAGTTTCTCGGCGTACATAGACGATGGATGTGTATATATATATATATATACATATATATTTATATATATAGATATGTATATATATATACATACTTATATTTACATATACACACACATATATATATATATATATATATATACATAGATGCGTGCAAATATATATTGGTATTAATAGATATATATTTATATATATATCAATACTACTTGGTCAAGTTCTTGCGCTGCTCAGCGATATCCTTCTCGTTCAGGTGAATGACCCGGCGACCAAAGCGCGCTGTTAGTTTGGAGAAGAAGCCCACGCGAGACGCGGGCTTCGTGTCGTCCGCCGATAGTGGCGGCGTCTGATAGGCGTCCTCCTCGCAGTTGCTGGAGGCGCGTCCATGCTTGCCACTGCGACCCTGGCCAAAGTGAAACGTGGCGCGCGCCACGTTGCTGCGCGTAAACGGCTTATCGGAAGACTTGTCCGCCGGTGCCGGTGTGGGCATGGGCGTGGTTCGGCCAAGGGCAGTGCTACAGCCGCCAGCTGCTTGGCCATTCACGTGCAGCCGCTCCAAGAGACGCCCATCCATGGGTGACTTGGGCGCCTGACTGCCATTTGTGTGCGTGCACGGCTCAGCCTTCTCGTAGAGCGTGCTGGGCCGGCGTCCCGAGCCCTGGTAATGGAAGCGCTGGGGACTCTTAGCTATCTTCTGCGCCTGGGCCAGCTGACGCTGAGCACTGAGCAGCGTCGGCTTGACATCAACGCCACCAGAGCCATTGGATCCGACTGTACGCTTGCCATGCGGCGTCAGTGGGGAGCGATTGCGACTGGGCGTGGTGGTTGCGTTGGAGCTGGTGCTGGTGCTGGTGCTGGTGCTAGTAGTGGTGCTAGTGGTGGTGTTGGTTGAGTTGGATGACGCTGGCTTGCGGGCGGGTGTACGGCGTGTGGGCTTGGCGGGGGGTGCTACCGCAGCTGTGGTGCTTGGACTGTGTATGGTGTGTGCAGGGCTGGCCGTTGCCAGAGCATTAGCCACGCGAGGCGGCAAAGGGCGATTCGTTGCCGAGAGGCTCTTCTCGAGCGGCAGCGTCACCTGCACACAACTGGCAATAGGCAGTGCGCTGGAAGAGGAGCTGTCTGAAGTGGTTGTCTCCGACGATGTTTGGCGGGTGCTGCGTGGCTTTGTCACGCCGAGCAGCATGTAGGTGCAGTAGATGTCATCAAAGGCTTGACTTCTAAGGGATGCCTCGACGTCGCGCCGCTTGTAGCCCATGTTGACCAGCAGCTCGAGACGAACTGCGTCCTGTAGCTCCATCGGCTTCTCGCGATACGGTCGCAGTCGGTCGGCCTCCTCGTGGCCCAGATTGATCCACTTGTCGCTCATGACATGGTTGAGTGTAGTGCGCTTAGCTGGATTCAGCACAAGAAACTTGCGCATCAGATTTTCACAGTCCATTGAGATGTAGTAAGGCACGCGGTACTTGCCGCGCAGCACTCGCTCGCGCAGCTCTTTGAGTGTGCCACCATCGAAAGGCAGGGAGCCACTGACCAGCGTGTATAGGACCACGCCCAGCGACCAGGCGTCGACCTCTGGTCCCGCATACTTGCGACCCATAAAGAGCTCCGGCGCCGCATACGGCGGACTGCCACAAAAGGTCTCCAGCTGGGCATTGGGATCGAAGGTGTTGCCAAATCCGAAGTCAGCGATCTTGATATTCATTTGCTGATCGAGCAACAGATTCTCAGCCTTTAGATCGCGATGGACCACAAACTTGCTGTGGCAATACTGAATGGCCGAGACCAGCTGCCGAAAGATGAGGCGAGCGTCGCGTTCCCGCATGCGTCCGTTCTTGACCAGGTGATCGAATAGCTCGCCGCGACTGGCGTATTCCATGATCAGGTAGAGCGTGCGCTCCGACTCGATCACTTGAAATAGGCGAACAATGTTCGGGTGGTTGAGCAGCTTCATGATGCGCACCTCGCGGTAAAGCTTCTGCCTGGCGCTAGTATTGAGCTGCGTCTTGTCTATCACCTTGATGGCCACCTCGCGGCCGGTGGGCACGTGGAGGGCCAGCTTCACCTTGGCAAAGTTGCCCTTGCCCAGCGTCTTGATGATCTTGTATACTCCGTTGCCGTTGCCATTTACATACGACTGAAACTTGAGCTCCGTGCCATTGCCCATGCCATCGGTCGCATCGTGGCCGGCTGCCTGACTGCTGTGACGAACCGTGGCGTTGCTGGGCGTGGCCGGCCCCGCCTTCGATGGCGTTGCCCCTGCACTAACTGATGCAGTTGCTGCTGCCCTCGCTATTTCTGTTGCAGTTTGACCAGCTGTGGCAAGGCCAGCTGTCGGGGATTTACTAATACAGTTCTCTTTCTCGGATGTTTTAAATGATTTTGGCGCTTTTTCGTCTGCTGCTGCCGCTGCTGCTTTTATTTTTGCCGCACTCTCATCTGCCAAGCTGAATTCTACAATTTCTAAATGTTTATCCGCCGACATTCTAAACTAACAAATTTTGTAGAGCTTCAAACACGAAACTGACAGCTAAACAGATCCGACCCCCCAATCCCCCTCTCCTTTAAATATAGCCAAGTGGCGATAGTTTGCCGTAGGATTTCAATTCACGTCCGAGTTTTGCGCATGCCGCGCACGCGTCCTTCTAAATACCAAGCACCAAATGGCAAATGCCAAATGGAAGCTATCTGCCCCTCCCGTAGCGACCCTCCAGTGAACTCAAGGCGATTTTGTTGACTCGTCAGTTTTTCCACCTCTGAACATCTGCTCGTTTGCGTCGGCACCCTCCTGGCGTGGTCTGGTAAGCTTTAAGATAAGACCGACCGGGGCAACCACTGGCTGGGCGCGTGTATTGCTGGCTCTAACCCTCAGCGTTCAGCTGGCATTGGTATGGCTGATAAGCATGGCTCGTCCTCGACAGGATCGCTTGCTTTGTCTCGCCCCTCCGCCAGCGAGTCACATGCGCCGCAACTTCCTTACAAACTCAACAACCCCTCGACATTGGGTCGCTGTCGTAGCCACAGGCAAATTGGTTTGCCTAATGCTTCATGTGGCACGAGCGCGTAACTCAATCAGCCTTTTCGTAGTCCTCGTTTCTCCTTGCTGCTTGCTCCTTGCGCTCCTTCCCTTGCCGTTTCGATCGTGTGCCGTTGCTCCTGTTGGTGTCAAATTAAAATCCACTCGGTTTATCGCTGAGCGTTGACAACGTCAATGTGTGTGATCAGCTGCATGGAAGGTAATATAGTAAAAGGATTTTATTACAGGTGATAACTGCTATTATAGGTGAACTGTACGCAAAATGGGGTAATACTATCAACACAACAGCTTGGAAAAATGATATTTTATTACGATTACAATCTTTAACTATCTTAATGCTTCTCAAATATCAACGATATGTATTTAAGCAGTGTGAAGCATATATATACATATATACATATAACTATATATATACATATAACTAGCTATACCTTAAAATTTCAATCTATATATGTACTTGTATTTATTCATCACTTGTTTCAATGCACAAGAAATACAGCCAATACAATATTCTAGCAACCTTTTGCTTTCAGTGTTCTTCGCTTTTGCACCACTGTACCAATTCCGATCTCTCTAAAAGTAATTTTCTCTCCCAGACCATTAACAAGCTGCCCTTGTGTGCTGTTCTTTCATTTCGTTTCGTTTTGTTTCTTGATTCCCTCTTGTTTTGCACTTACATTCTGCTTGCATATCCTGCGATCCTCTGCCAAACTACCCTAACAGCTACCTACTTACCTTTAACAAAACACGCACACACACAAACATATATGTATAGCGGAAAAAAAAGAAATTAACTCATGCAACAACTACAACAAAGGAAACGAAACTGGTCCTTAATCTGGCTTTTCCTTGCGCCTCAGCATTCGCTCGTTCGCCCTGTGCGACGTGTAACAATTTCTCGTTCTCGCTTTGAACTCTTGCACACAGTCGCACACACAGACACATACGTACACACTCGCATACATGCAGGCATGTACATGTGTGCCGACAGCCTTGTGTCCTTGATCCTGCTTACTTGTTTTCGCTGCTTGTGCTGTTGTTGTTGGTTTTGCTCTGCTGTGGCTTGCGACATTTTCTCAAATTTTGCCATCGTCATTCTCATTCCCTTATTCTCATCCAACCCTGACTGCTTGCCTGCCTGTCCGCCTGCTTGCCTGCCTGCCTGTCTTTCTCTCTGCCTGCCTTCCTTCTCTCTTCCACCTCTCTCTCACTCTCTCTCTTCGCTTGCGCGTCGGACTTGTCCGCTTTGGGTCGCATGCAGCGGCATTGTCATCTCCTTTTTTCGCTTCCTCTTCTTACTACGCCCGGCTGCGCTGTTTTCTTTGTCTCGTTTGTTCGTAATTCAATTGCAGCTGCTTCTTTTATGTTTTTGTTTCTATTACTTTTGGCCTACGAAAATACGCGATTTGCAGTGTCAGCAAAACTAAAAAAACCAACAACAAAACACTTGGCTCTACGTTAATTTCCAGAATTGGCAAAAGTATTGAATATTTGGTAAATCGAATTTCAACTAAAGTTGCAGTTGTCCAAGTTCAATGGACCCCAAAGTTCCCTACACTACGCTCCCCTGCAGTTGGCCACCACACTGGGCGCTCGTATGCAGAAGTAAACAGAAAGTTAAAGTAAACAGAAGCAAAGGGAACGAGGGGGGTATGTTAACATTCATGTGTCGCCTTTGTTGCTACTTCGTCTTCTGCTCTCTGGCAGTTTAGCGCCTTCATTTGATTTCGCCCCATTCTATTTTGATTCTTATTCTTGAGAGCGCTTCTCAGAAGCAACAACAAGAATAACAACAACAACAGCCCACTCTCCCTTAGCCGTTACTCGCGATCATCGTTCTCGGGCCGTTTGCCTGTTCGCCTCTTCTTGATGTTTATCTGCTGCTGGCCACAGAAACTCTTCCCACTGAGTCATCAGGCAGACAACGGAAGGCCCGCAGCTTAAGACGCCACTGGCAGCCCAACAGCAGCGACAGCGACAGCGTTTGGTCTTCGCTTTCCACTTGATCTTCGGGCTCTCATTTCTTGTGCGCGTCTCTTTAACGCACTTTTCTAGTTTTCCATCGATCTTTTGCCCTTGGCTCTGCGCACATGTACACACACGCACACACACACAAACACAGACAGGCACAGTTACTTATGCTTCATTAGCGTGCAGCCATTTCTTAATTGTTTTATTGTTTCTACTTTGACACTATTTCTTTAAAACGGGTCTGGCTCTGAGTTTTTTTGTGCTGTTGTGATTGCCAGCTCAACGGAGCGAAGAAGCACTTGAAATCACTATTCCCAGCGGATTGGATCGGTTGGTTTATTAATAAAACGCCTCTTTAATTGCAAAGAAAAACGCCCACTTCAACGGCAGATGGACAAATGGACGCAGACACGGACAGACACCAAGACAGACCGCAAACTGAGAGCCCAGATAAGGCAGCAGCAGCAGCAGCGGCACCAGCACCAGCAAAACCGACTGTCCCCATGGAGCGAGCGTTTATCTTGTGCCAGTGTCCCGAAATCGAAAACCAGAAATCAAAAGACCAAAGCAGCGCCAAGATAATTGCACATTTTACTTACGTTTCGTTTCGTTCCCATTCCCGTTCCCGTTCTCCGGGCAGCAATCAAAAACAAATTAGAGTTAATCCACAATCCACACACATGTGCTGCGACCGCGATCCGAAAATGTATCTGCGTCTCTGCGCGACGAACTATAAGATACAAAGCGCGTCGTTGTACTGAACGCACAACTCCAAGTGCCAGTGCCCAGGCCCAGGCCCAGTTTCAGATCCATGCACATACCGATACAGGTCTGAGACGGAAAGAGAGAGAATCTTAAAGAACTGCACGCGATACAGATGTGCGCTGGAGAGTCGAGCGAGTGAGAGCGAGCGTGCGATGGGCGAGTGAGTCTCTTCTTGTGCTCATCGCCGTTTGCGCTCTTTACACGCTCATTCTTTGTGCGGCTTCTTTCGCTGCTGAGGCTCAAGCGTTGAAGGTCGTTATATTTCCTTGAGCGTTTCTTGAGCCGTGACGTCACAGGTAGGCAACGATGACGGCGTCGTTGGGCAGGGGAAATGTCTGATGATGGGCACAACAATGCATAACTTCGGACTCGGCTTCGTTTTCGTATTCGTATTCGCATTCGTTTTCTTCTTGTGCCTCGCTGCCTTTGCCAACTCGGGCTAAGTTTCTGCGGCGAATTTATCGTCAAATTGCCTTTGTAGTGGTTCGCCTCAATTTCTTCTCCTCAAACTTAAGTGGTGTGGGTTTTCTTACAGTAACTGTTGTCGTGGTGGTAGTATGGTCGTGTTGCCGACTCTTTCTAATTGTGACTGTGTGTGTGTGTGCGTGTGTTTTGAAGTTTTCTTATTCGCCGTTGGTTTTCGCAGCGTATCGCCCGCTGTGTTTGTGTGTGCGTTATCTTATCGCATGCTCAACGCTCAATCAAGTGTACGTGTCTGTTGGTGTGGGTGTCTGCGACTGGGACCAATAAGAACGAAGCAATCTTGAAGTGGATTCCGCTGCGGCTCTGTGACCAACTACATTTCTCATTTAGCCGCCAGACAGACAATGCCAACAAAAGCCAAAACAGTTTGATTAAAAAACCCAAGCAAAACTTGCCATAACGAATAAATAATAAAATGCATTTGGTTTTACTCTTCTCATTCTTTTTTTTTTCATTTAAATGAAAAGAAAAATCATGATGACAAAGTAGGCGACAAGAGCTGAGAGAGAGAGGGCGGCTGCTACAGATCTGCTGATTATAATAAAAGTTTTTCATTTTTTCTATTTCTTTTTGAATTTTACTTAACTCTTGTTCCATTTTGTCGTTTTGCGAGTTTCTTTGGCCGCGACGACTTTGAGGCGCTTGATTAAAAAGCTTTTGCATATTTCTGCCTTCTGATTGAAATTACTTTGAGATAAACTTGCACCACTCACCCAGCTGCAACTGCGACCCCTCCCCCTCCCCCTCCCCCTATAGTCTACTACAGTCTAGACCAAGTCGCAGTCAAACTTGCTATTAGCATATTGTTAGGTTCGCAGTACCTACTTCTGTGCTGGAAGAAACTCAAGCTCCAAATGTGGGCCAAACTGGCATGTTAATAATTAAGCGGGTAATTAAACATGCCAACAACACCAGACCAGAGTACCCCAATAAATGGCTTCGACTAATGTATGCCAGCCGTGAAATACCCTAGAAATACCCTGAAATTAGTGTAAATGTTTGATGAGTGTTGTTACTTCTTTTCTCTATGAATTTTTAAGCTTTTTGATTATTTTTTTATTAATATTGGTAACTATATATATTTAAATTATTTATAAAGAGACTAGATTAACAGTTTATAAGCTTCATTCACTTTATTTTTCACATGTATTTATTTATTTTAATTTATTACTATTTTTCTATATTTATATTTTTATTTTTAAATAAATATTTCAGCTATTTCAGCTTATTATTTACATATATTACCTTGGATCGAAGCTTAAATAGAGTAAAGCATACGTTAA